CGCCTTATATATATTTAAAGGGTGTCTGGAAGGGTGTTGTACTATTCATGTCAGAGTGTGACCGGGGTCGCCTATACATGAATCACTTGCACAACTTGTTATATTTGGCATGTATTCGACATCCTTACATCACATACATTGGTAACCAGTGCATCTCAGTGTAGACAAATGTTCAATAGCTAATCATCAGTGATGTACACAAACCATGAGACGATTGGGGCATTTCCTGATTATAGACTAAGATATGCAAGACTACTTTACATTTCAGTAGTACGTAGCACGAGTCTCGCGTACTTGTCACACAATTCACCCTGGACTAGTGCAGCAGTCATATGGTTAGGACGTGCCGTGTTTTCTGCATTGTGCACAGTATGTTTCTTTCTCGATAAGTAAGCGCCACTTGTCTGCTCTGTTTTTCAACCTTATAACCTATAATGACTTCATGCCTTTTTTTCTGCGACCAGTCGAAATATCAGAACTATCCGACTCGGGACATTTTACTTCATGGGCTGTGGGTTATATCTTTGTTTTTCCTGTACTTTGAATATTTCCCGTAACCAGGAAAAGAATCCTCACGCAACGCATTTTTCTTCTTTACAGATTCTCAATAAGTGCGAAAAAAGCTTCTTGAAGAAAATGTTAAGAAGTCTCTTAGTGGTACTGTTTATGTCTAAGTAGCTGCTAGCTCGCCGATGAAAAGGATGAAACACAGCCTTCATTTTGTTATCCAGAAAATAATTGTTTTATTAAATTAAGACCTCATCTATGTTACCATACATTATTTGTTGTAGAAGGGTCGAATATATCCATTTGGCAACATGTGTCTGATGCGAGCAAGTTACTGTTGCAATGACATCAGTCCCCTGCTGTGGAATCGATGGAATATTGCTAAAAGTGGCGTAAAACTGACTGAATGACTGACAGCAGATGACAGTTCATAAGAGTGAGTGGGTGAGTTAAGGTTTATAGTCAAGTTTTCAGCTATATCGTCACTAACAATTATCAGAACATCCGGTCACGTCAGGTCGGAGGAGAATATGATGTCAATTAATAATAATATGGAAGTACTTCTTGGTGGGAGCTGTTGAACACTGACCAGACCAAGCATGTGGACTGGTGTAGTTCGCCAAATATAATTGTCCACTCATGTTTTGGTATAACAGAGGAAACAGAGTTATCTAAAATTGCGAATTGAGACACTGAAAAAGAAATCTGATTCTCTGCGTAATTTAGACTTTCTAACAAAGAACCTGGTTTCCCTACATTCTCCAACTTCTGCATGCAGCTCAAGGCTATGTCATATACAAACAAATTAGGCATCATGTGATCTTTACACTGCATTTCGTCATGTTCACATAGGTACAGAGTATATCATAGACAATGCACTATATTTATCATCATTTAGCTAATGTTACATGTATATGGTGCAATACAACATGGACCTGTGTTGATGATATGCTCTATATATATTTGTAGATACCGTGTTATATCATGTGACCATGTGTTGGTCACGTGTAGATTGTGTTTTACCAAAGCCCTCATGTAGATACAGTCGAACGTGTACATCATTATGCAGGTATACTGTTCATCACAGCGCGTCCCCCCTGTGTCTGTCGTGTGTTCGTGTATGTATCGTAGAATACCTCCAAATTGGTACTTTCTGGTGACGCATTAAACGCAACTTCTTGCTTCTGCTCAGTGTCTTGTTATTGTTGGCAGTGTTGAGCCGTCGATCAGTCCATGGCCCATGGAATCACCTGAAGATAGCTGATGGCCCCCTTGTCCAAAGGGTCATTATCACTTGAGTCAATAATACAAGTAACCCGAGATGCTATACTCCTACAAACATACTTAATACTACAGTGACACTCGAGCTGCATGTACCTTGAGATTACACAGACACCTGGGTGGTTGGATCGCGGGCCATGAGGCGAAAGTGAAAATTCAACTCTGTGGACATTACTTTCAGTCAAATGATACCACTGCTAGTCTAATGATATCACGTCAAGTCTAATGACATAACTCGATGTCTTATGACATCACTGTCACTCAGAGCCAGTACACTGTGTCGGATTTCCATGTTAAACGGTGGCGTGAAAATATAAATCCGGGCTAGTACATACAGACACACGGACACAGACACGCGGACACAGACACACACACACACACACACACACACGCACGCACGCACGCACGCACGCACGCACACACACACACACACACACACACTGACACAGGCAGGCACACACACACACAGACACACTCACAAACACTAACACGCGAAGGTTAAGCCTTACCAGTTCAACAACACCTAGCAAATAATGTGTCTCTCATTAACAGAGCATATGTAGTCAATGTATATCATTAGAATGAACTTGCCCTTCCAACTTAAATATGCTATAATGGACACAAACACTGTCCAAGCAACGGCCTACGACATCTGCGCACGAAAACACGTAATCAGCGAAATCTGTCTATTTTGGTTTCCTCTTACGTCAAGCGAAGGTTACTGGTGATCAATGCTATACCGGAAACCCTGCGAAGATATTCTGGATATGATGACATGATAATGAAACAAAGTAACACAGTCACTTACTCAGTCTTTGTAGAGCTTATCTAATCAAATATCTGGTGACAATCTTGATCACCCATGGAGTTTGTGTTATCAAGATTAAACTGTAAGTTGGCCACAAAATGTTATTCATGATGCCCCAGAATAGAGGAAATACAAAGAGGATATTTGTCATTTCTTGTTAAGTAAAACAGTTTCCTCATCGAGTGATGTGACAATGGGAATTGCATGTTGTCATGAATTGGGTATCACAAGTAACCATGTTTGTGTGCTAGCAAATGAAGACGCCCCTGTGTACAGACAGGACGTACTTGTGTACTGGCTAGTGATGACGTCATTATTACGGTCAATAGAGAATGTGCTTGTATCGTGACCAGAGAGGACGTCCCGCATAACTGACTGATGGGTTAATGCTTGTTTATTGACGATAGTGGACGTTCTTGCGCACTTATCAGAGTGGACGTGTTTGAGAACTGACTGGATAGGACGAATTTGTATACTGACCAGGGAGGGTATGATGATGACTAGAGAAGACGCTCTTCACTACTGACTAAAGATGATGTCCTTGTGTGTTGACCAGAGAGGAGGACGTCCTTTATTGCTTACTAAAGACTAGAGAGGGCGTCATTGTGTACTGACTAGAGAGGGCGTCATTGTGTACTGACTAGAGAGGGCGTCATTGTGTACTGACTAGAGAGGGCGTCATTGTGTACTGACTAGAGAGGACGTTTCCACTACTGCCTAAAGTTGATGTCCTTGTGTGTTGACCAGAGAGGAGGTGCTTGTGTACTGACTATAGATGACTGACATCTTTTTGTATTGACCTCAAAAGACGTGCCTGTGTGTTGATTAGAGGGGATGTCATTATTATAGACAAGAGAGAATGTGACTGTGTCTTTGTTACTGACTAGAGAGGGCGCGTTTGTGTGTTGACAAGAGAGGCTGTCCTTTATTACTTTCTAAAGACTAGAGGACGTCATTATTACGGACAAGAGAGGGCGTCATTGTGTACTGACTAGAGAGGACGTGTTGTGTACTGACTAGAGAGGGCGTTATTGTGTACTGACTAGAGAGGACGTGTTGTGTACTGACTAGAGAGGGCGTCATTGTGTACTGACTAGAGAGGACGTGTTGTGTACTGACTAGAGAGGACGAGTTTGTGTACTGACCATAAACGATGTGCTTGTTTTCTGACCAGAGGTTGTGTTCTTGTGTACTGATCAGGGAAGATGTTAAATGATCAGAAAGGGTTTGTTTGTATACTGACCAGAAAGTGCGTCATTGTGTTCTGACCAGAGATGATGCATAATAATCAGATACACGTGCAAAACGGTTGCACTAGCGCGATTACTTTTCTTGTTTTGACACAAATTGAATGTATTCGCGCTGCCTTCTACCGCATGTGGACAAGGGGCATGGCAATAACATCGTAAAGAACACAGACTGTGATTACAATATGTTCGAATAATGTAATCAAGTGATGATCACAGATATATATTTATAACACATTTACATTATAAACACAAAGAATAAAGTTAAGCACACCCCTATTTCTGAACCATGACAAATTGCAAAAGTCATGACATGGTTAGTATACAATGTACAAATGTTCCTTGTACCAGGGCTGCTCGTTCATCGTATCACATGCTCTTTCTCACAGCTGATCACTGTGAAGCTACATTCCCGCGCTATAGCCCCCAGGGAAGTAGTTTATATGTTTTACGTTCGCAATGTGGACAATGGCACCACATGACCCATATAAAGAATATAAATATCCCAGCTTACTCCGGAATCAACGTATTTCTAACTACGAGTGACCCAGTGGCCCATCGCCCTAGGTCTCTCTAAGTTCAATGCTCATGGGTATTAATCCAAGAATGTCCCATCTCATGATGTTTGGTTTGTCAGCATAAGATCCGAGGTCGTTCAAAAGCCGAAAGGGTCTTTGCAACGTGCTGTAATATATATTAGTTCTGATGAGAGAGAACGAGAAACAGAGAGAGAGAGAGAAAGACAGAGGCTGAGAGAGAAACAGATTATATTCACTGTGGGCTAATGCGGCATGTATAGACGTGAGCAAGATTAATAACGCCCAGCCATACTTTACTTCTACAAGGTAAATAGGCAATCTCATAACCAGTACAAAGACATTTAGAGTCTATTGCACAGGTATAACTTTAGCTCCTCAAGTCCTGATCAAGCAACATGTTTTTTCCCCAAATAATGATCATGTTATTTATAAAAAAAACAATGTTACTTTCATTTCAAACTATTTCAATCAAAGAGGCGTGTTTTAGATGTTCTACAGGAGCAGACGCAATAATGAAACCGCATCGCTCATCACATGTCAGTAAATTCCTTGAAATCCATTTTTATGATACAATTGATACAAAGGACTTTCCTTCTAAGTTATAAGATAACCACCTACCTGATGTTAAGTGCAGCACATAGACACAGAGCAGGACAACGACTCTGACCCCCTCCATGGCGGCGAGTCTCCAGTCACCAGGAAACTTATTCTGCCTTCACGTGACTATCAATGTGACAGAGAGTTGAACGACCCTCTCTGAATGACTATTGTGGCTATCGTTCACTGTGCGTTGAGGGTGTTCGTGTTATTCACCTGGCATGACAAAGAGTATGAACGTTTAAACGTCCGTATACGTTCCTGCATAAACGGTCACCTGGTGACAGCGGCAGGGACGGGAAACTTACATTTTGTGAAAACACCCACGACCAAGCTGAAGTACACGTATTTACAGACAGGAAGACGCAGACACAATCGGTACGAGCGACCACACCATGTTCTGTTGTATTGTTTCTGCATGTTCTTTTTCACTGATTTAGCCACACAATCCATAAGCCCTGACATGAGACAGAATGGATAGACGAGTAAACATAAGACAACAGCCTTCACCTTTTGACGTAACGTAGGTTGAATGTACAAAACACTACAACCTGTCACTAGCTACAACGCCAAAGCTTAAGCTTAACGTTATACAGAATGTTTTACTGGTACTGACATCAGTAGTTTGTTGACCACAAAGGGAAATTCATTTTTCATTATACAGCTGTTGAAATAGCATAGTGTGTTCAACGTCAATCGTCATCAAGATGGGACAACTAGTTTAGTGACACAGAACGCTGTGCAGGGTTGTGTTCATCCTCCATGTAGGTAGTATTTTCACATTCGCCCTGTCAATGTCATCGGAAACTTCAACTTTCCTTGTCGATTCGGCGATGGCTCAGGACAAATTTTCTGAAAACTGTGAAATATTGGGGAATATTCCTGATGTAACTATCATTTGATATTATTTTTTTATACAGATCATTTCTAATCCTTGGAAGTTCTTGAGACAAGCTTCGGGAATACTAAAGCTTTTAATTGTTTAAAGCAATACAATATGGGATATGTGCTTGACTCATGAGACGAAAATTATCTCTTCATTTTTACTGCGGGATAACTGCACTGTGGTTCAGAAGCCAGATATGATTGTTAACATAACAAAACATAAATGAAAATGATGTGGAAAAGTGGAGCTGCAATACTTTCAAATCAGTTTTATTTCACAAGATACAAAGAATGATATAAATACTGACAAAGGTACTCGATAGTTGACAATCATATTATTATGATCAATGAGAACCTTTTCTTGGGTGAACTTGGCTTCATTGTCGACCCTATGATAAGCATGTTAGTGGATAGATTATGCTACCTTAATAATGGAGACATTTCAAAACACAATTTTGTCATGAATTAGTATACTTCAGAGTGAAAGAGTTTTCTGAAGTTTGGAAATGTGGTATTTTCATTGCAGTGAACATAACATTTGATATTTCACTGCAGTGAATATAACACTTTGACGTATATATAGTCATTCAGGAGTTACCTCCCTTTTAATTGACTCAATCGTAAGTGTCTAGCCCGTACACAAATTGTATCAATTGTAATTTCTTCATTTAACACTTGCCAATCAAAAAAGTTTATTTCGCAAAACGCGATTTTTGTTAGTTGGTCAATGTGTATTCTTTCTATTCCAAAACAGTCTTGTAGATTTAAAGGATATCTTTTGTTGAAGTTGATTTTGTATATAATCATATTTACTTAATTGGCATCAATATTTTTTGCTAATTTTAAAGATATAAGTCGCAAGTGCAAGAGGTGGTGAAACGTCCTTGAGTCTTAGGTTGGGAGAATATACGTTTCAAGGTTTACATTTGCAATAAAATAATTCAATTGTCCCGAGAAAAGAACAATCATAGTAAATAGTACTGATCTGGTGCCCTTCGTGAAAACTTAAAAGTTAGTATATCCTTTCCCTCGTCCCTAGTTATCCTATCCCCTTGGCTCAGAAGGTGTCAGTACATTCGTTACACGGTCAGTAAACAGGGTGTACAGGCTGCCCGGCGTTGTGACGACTATCTGCTCATAGCAAAACATGCCCTTTCAAGAGACAGTAACTGTGCAGTGTGGCACAAACAATTGACGTCTCCTACTTCACATGAGTGATATCAAACTTCCTGGTCCAATAGAAGCGCCTGTACACTGTGCTCATGGGTTAGGCATTTATATACAGAATAATGAGCATTGTGCTGATACATTTTCACCTTTGACGAAATCATGACAGAACACTGATCAATACGTTCCTGGTTTGAACAGCGAATGCGGTGCTTTAGGGCACGTGTGCCTCGTACATGTACTGTTGATACCACATTGGGCAATATAAGTGATGGTGTTCAACATACCCGTGCACATCCAGTTACTGGTGTTCCAGTATATATTAAATTAATGTAAGTCTCTCAGAAGTCGACTGTAGGCGAATGAAGCCATGAGGGCTCGATGGTCATCGGTCCGATTCGATATACACAAAAGCAAACAAAAAGCATTTCAATGCTCATAAAATATACGAGGAAACGGCAATGCAAGAGACTAACCATTCTCGATAATCCACCGAAATTCCATTTGGCGTAAAGGGCAAAATAGATATGGAAATTGTATGAATGGACACCTTTAAATCAGTAATAACTTGTTGATCAATCGTCTAACTGTGTACAAAGACAACCAGTTGTCTATCCAGACCAGGATAACTTGAGTTTCCTTTCCATGTGTTAGGGTGACAACACACAGTCGCATGTCCAATTATCTGACTCTGTGAAGACTTATGTACAGCCTAATTTCGAAATTTGTTTAGAACTTTATGGCATGTTCATCACAATCTTTAAGAACTCTCTAATAAACTCCAGTACACTTTCAATGTTTGACAAGATCAGTTTTGAGTCATAGGCTTCCCGAAAGATCAGACTATAAAAAATGATACATAATACAAGTTACTTTTGACTTTTATATAAGTATATTTTTTATACTTGATAAAAGTTATCACAGGAACTACGAAATAGTCACGTAATAATATCTAATCTCTGGATTATATGTGAGTTATTGTATCCAAGTACATTCCTTTGTTGTAATTATTTACAGTTAGGTTGGGTTCGTAACAGGAAACATTAGTGCAACCATTAAAGTCACTATATCTGCTTTAGATTAGATTTGTGTAGCTGTGATGTGTACGTTTGTGCGGCACAAGGACAAAATCAACTTAGATCCTTATTCAATTCAATATACTGATTCGCATAACTGATATTATGGTTTGTGTGGAAATATCCATGTATTCAGAATCTAGAAATATATTTAATCACCATGTTAAAGACACAGATACAATTTTTGCAGTATTAATCCCTGATGCACATAAAATACACTTGCCGAGTTCCTTGCACCTATGTTGACACATTTCTTGTCTCAATTTTGTCTTTTTTTAGATTAATTTAAGCTTAAATATTCACTCCTTCGTTGCTGTATATGACTGTTGGTCTAATGGTGTCGTACAGTTCTGTCTGCATTCTACGCAGTGACAAGGCCACACATTACATAGCCAATGTATGTAAGCATCACTTCAATTCCTGTTTCACCAAAGAACTTGGCATAAATGACATATAAAAATTCACATATAAAGCTTGTATGTTCACCCCGCCCAAACCATACAACAGTTCTATCATCTTTGTTCATTCTTCGTTTGTACTGGATTCCAAAGCTAAAAAAAATCCATACAAAGAGAAATAATATTGCTAGGTCCAGCAAAAGTACCACCAAGTCTCTGTCTGAAAGAACTATAATAACCCTGAATATAATCAAGGAAGGAAGTTATTTAAAGCCACACAAAGTAAAGGGGAATTAATACCATGTTGATTCTCAAAACCTCCAAGGATCTGCGTGCCTATTGACAATCTCAGAAAAGAACCAGGTTCAATTCTCTCAAAACATTTGATTTTGCAAATTGTACACCACCATCCAACATGATAAACTTAAGGGAAAACCTCAATCCTTCATCCATGGGACTTTTGTAACAAATTGTGGTGACCATAGAGACAGCTAAATATCTATCTTCAGAGCTTCAGGAGATAAATGAGAAAACAATATGTGAAACGCTGGACTCCCTCATTGATAACATTCATGTAAAATGTGGGGGGAGACATTTTCGGAGGAAATAGGCTTCCTCATGGGCACCAATTGTGCTCCCGTGTTGCTGATCTGTTTCTTTATGCATATGAATCTGAATCATGTTACATGACATACTCCAGGTAGACCGTTCATCATAGCGCGTCGCTCCTGTGTCTGGCGTCTGTTCGTGTATGCATCGCAGTATACCTCCACATTGTTACTTTCCGGTGGCTCATCAAACACGACTTATTGGCCTCTATTCAATGTCTTGTTATTGTTGGCAGTGTCGAGCCGTCGATTTGCCCATGACACGTGGAGTCATCTGATGATAGCTGATGGCCCCCATGTTCAATGGGTCACTTAGGTCAATGATACAAGTCTAAAGATATCGCTTCGAGTCGAATGAAAACCCTTCCAGTCTGATGACATCACTTCGTGTCTAATGAAATCACTTCCAGTCTAATGACATTACTCGCATCACTGTTTGGCCGTCTCAGAGTCAGTACGCATATGTACACACACACCCACGCACCCACGCACGCACACACACAAATGATATTAGTGTAATTATCTCAAAATCCATTTTACCTCACCTCACTTGTTTGTGCTAGATCCAAAAAGCATGGGTACACAGGTAAATAGAACTATTTACATATGTAGTGAACTTATGATCCTGAGAATGAACTTGACCTTCATACTTAAGTGTGCTTCAATGGACACGTATAATGTCCAAGCATCACGTGCTTTCAAATTAGGCCCAATCTTAACTGTAATTTAAACCCGCAATCTCCCAGTTAGGGATGTACTAAAGCCTATACATGTCTGTATGCACAATAACTTAAATTTATTTTCCATTCGTCCCATTCAATGTCTTCCACATAAATTATATTGATGTGCACATGATTAAGATGTGTCCTCTTCAACAATATATGAGAGGGTAACATAAGTTAGAAAGTTAACCTGTTGATTCGTCATCGATTCACTTACTCGGTA